TGTTGTTTGGCGGGTCCGGGCTGGGGATTCGAACCCGCCACCTTAGGTGTACGTGGCTGGCGCCTTAGCCGGTTGAGCTATAGGCGCCGAGCCAGTCTTTCTACTCTTTACGAACATTTGGGTTGCATCTACTTTTTACATGTGCAACTCTTAATCTTGCTTGTTCTTTGGTGTAGGTATGTATAAATTGTTGGGTGTGCAGAAAGGAGTGGAATAACAGGGTGATACTGTGTGCATTTATTTAGCCTCAGCACACATTGCCAAAAGTGGTGGTTGTGAAAGTTTGTGCTACCACCAACCATCTATGAGAAGTCAGTTGGTAAGTTTCCCAACACTTGGTATTGTCTGTTCTTTTAATTTTAGCAATTGTGGCAGATATTTAGTGGTTTGAACTTGCTAGTCTCTGGTGACTAGTAACCTGCAGAAGTAGAGCTTCTCTGCATGTGTTGGTCAACCGTGTGTGTGTGTGTGTGTGTGTGTGTGTGTGTGTGTGTTTCTTTGGAGAGACAGGTCTTGCTGTGTTGTTGAGGTCAGTCCCAAACTCCTGTCTTCAAGCAGTGCTCCTGCCCTGGCCTCTCAAAGTGCAGGGGTTTACAGGTGTGAGACACCACATCTGGCCTTCATTGGCCTTTTGGATGTCAGCTTTTATGAAATGATTGTGTTTGGCCCATTTTTCCATTGGGTTATATGTTTTATTTCATATTGATTTGAAGGAGTTTCTTTTTTTTTAATGTATTCTAAGTACATATGTGTATGGTAGATTGTTTTTAGGCTCTTGTGGTTTGCCTTTGTACTCTCTCAGTGGTATCTTTTGACAAGCAGAAGTTTTAAATTTTTTTTTTTTGGGCTGGGGCTGGGTTTGAACCTGCCACCTCCGGCATATGGGGCCGGTGCCCTACCCTTTTGAGCCACAGGCACCACCCAGAAGTTTAAAATTTTTAATGTAGCCCAGTTGATCAATTGTTTCAGTAATGTTTAATGCTTTGTGTCCTGTTTAAGAAATCTGCTTGGTCAAGTTCGTGAAGGTATTATCCCATATTGTCTTGTAAAACCTTTATCTTCCATCTGAAGCTGATTTTGTTTATGGTGTGAGATAGGGGCCAGTATTCCTTTTCTTGTTGTTGTTTTACATGTGGAAGTCCGGCTGACCCTGCATACTTTGTTAAAATGACCATCCTTTCCCCAGTGTCCTGCATTGTCATCTCTGTCGTCTCAGTCAAGTGACTATAAATGTATAGGTCTGTTTCTAGCTTCTCCTGCTCCTTGATCTTTTTGTTACACAAGTAGCATACTATCTAAAATACCATAGATGTCATCTGTCTTGAGAGCTGATTTTTTTTTTTTTTTTTTTTGAGACGGATCCTCAAGCTATCCCCCTAGGTAGAGTGCTGTGGCATTACAGCTCACAGCAACCTCCAACTCCTGGGCTCAAGCGAGTCTCCTGCCTCAGCCTCCCAAGTAGCTGGGACCACAGGCGCCAGCCACAATGCCTGGCCATTTTTTGGTTGCAGCCGTCATTGTTGTTTGGCGGGTCCGGGCTGGGGATTCGAACCCGCCACCTTAGGTGTATGTGGCTGGTGCCTTAGCGGCTTGAGCCACAGACGCCGAGCTGAGAGCTGATATTTTAAGTCCTCCACCTTTATTCTTCAAAATTTCCTTAGCTAGCCTTAGCCCTTTGCATTTTCAGATACTTTTTACAATCTATTTGGCATCTTGGCCCCACAAAATGTGCTGGGATTTTAATTGGTATTGCCTTTAATCTATAGACCACTGTGGGAAGAAATGACATCTTAATATTGACTTTCTAAGCCATGATCACAAAATAGCCTTC